GCTTGTGTGTCATGATGTAGAGTCCTTTTGTCAGACATAGGGTCTTCCAGCAGCCACCCTCTTGATCAGCAACGCTACCTCTTCAAGGCACTTGACGTAGGCCTCCGTGTTGAGTCTGAGTCTCTGTAGGAAAATGAATGGAGGTAAAACGTCTCCATCACTCGTGATCTCCCTAAACCCTTTAGACCCATCCAACTCTTTTCGAATTCACCGCACTGTCCTCAGATTGACACCCAAACATTCTGAAATGTTCGCATTGGAGCTTCCAGAGCAAATGCCAAGCAGTACAGCATGCCTTTTTCCAAATTTCTGGCGGAGTGAATTGTGTCATGGTGCTCTTTTTCTCACAGACAATGCCAAACTGAGCCTACTATACTGTACAGTCGACAAAATTAAAAACAAACAGAGCCAAAGATGTTTTTTTAAAGTGCTATTTATTAACGGTACATTTTCGAAATGTCCGGTTTCACAACGCTAGAGTTGTATTTTGAATATTTCAAGTGAGAAAATTGTTTTAAAATAGTAATGTGTCAAATCCACGAATTTTTTTTTTTTTTTTTTTTTTGTTATTTGTTATAAGTGTTTTTCGGTTAACGTGACATGAACAAAATGGATCCTCTTTCGGCTTGCAATACATTTATTTTTGACTTGGAAATTTACCTGAAATGAAAACAATATTAAATATTTGACAATGAAGGAGAGAATTTCTTCGAAAGTACTTGTAACAGAACATCTAATCCATCTCATAATTTTAAACATGAGGATCTCGTCATTCAGAGAGTTGTTAGTAAGTTAATATTTTATTGATCTGTTAGCGAAGTGATTTCGCCATTAATTACATTAACATTACTGATTAATTCTTTGGATGATTACTTCTTTATAATATTATATATACTGCACCAATTAATATATATATATATGTGTGTGTGTGTGTGTGTGTGTGTGTGTGTGTGTGTGTGTGTGTGTGTGTGTGTGTGTGCCCATCTATGGGAAAATAGCAGAACAGCAGACTGAGTCATATAGCCTTGGCTGGCAACCAGTCTAGGAGAATGAAACCAAACCCCAGTGCAAAAGGAACCGGCAAGCCATTCCACTGTTCTGTTTGAATGTCACCATGAACCACAATTGTGAAATAGAGAGCAATGTAGCACATGGGTTCCATTCCTTTCGGAGGACATATTTTCTAGGAAATTCAGGCCGATAAAGGTAATTAATACTGTTTATTATTAAAAAAAAAAAAAAAAAAAAGAGCATTTACTTAAATAATTGTATCTATAAAAATAAAGTATAAACAGAAAATATATTAAAAGAATTGTCGGACCATTTCATAATATATGTTGTCATTTGTTTACGTTAAGATATGCTTCGAGCATATTTGATCGTTCGAGAAAGATCGTGGGGAATTTGCTAATTAAAAACAGCTATTTGGACTTACCAGACGCTTCTTCTGTAGCTGAGTGGTATAGTATGTCAGATCGAATGACGGTTCCGTGTAGAACACAAGTTCGATTCCTGTCGGAGGACATACATTATCTGCAAAATTTCTCGGACATTCAGGCCGGTAAATGCAATTAATACTGTTTACACACACGCACGCGCGGGCACACACACACATATACATATATATATATATATATATATATATATATATATATATATATATATATATAATTGGTGCAGTATATATAATATTGTAAAGAAGTAATCATCCAAAGAATTAATCAGTAATGTTAATATAATTAATGGCGAAATCACTTCGCCGCTAACAGATCAGTAAATTTTAACTTACTAACAACTCTTTGAATGACGGGATCTTTATAAACAGAGCATTTACTTAAATAATTCTGTTTATAAAAATAACGTATAAACAGAATATATATGTGTGTGTGCATCTGTGTGCATGTATATTCATAAAACATACATACAATATTCATAAAACTTACATACAAATATACACATATTGACCGACGCTAAACGTACATATTTACATGTGTGTGTGTGTGTATGTATGTATGTATATTTATAAAACATGGATACAAATGTACACATATTGACCTACGCTAAACGCACATATTTACTTCATACATACATACATACATACATAAGACCGTGTGATAGATAGATAGATAGATAGATAGATGATAGATAGATAGATAGATAGTGCTATGAATAATCAAAAGTGGTCTCCCCTTGTTTCGTCACTCTCCTCTTGAAATAGCTATTTTTGTTTACTGAGACTATAAAAGGACACTATACGCGAATCTTGTATTCTCAGTTGAATAAAGCTTTCTTAAAGTCTTCACCTGCGTACTTTTGTTATTATAGATAGATAGATAGATAGATAGATAGATAGATAGATAGATAGATAGATAGATAGATAGATAGATAGATAGATAGATTTGAACAGACTGAGATCGATAGATTTGAAAATACAGACAGATAGATAGATGCCTACATACATACACTCATATATATATATATATATATATATATATACATACATACATACATATGAAAATTGTGTGATAGATAGATAGGTAGATGTGAAGAGACTGATATAGTTACATATCCTTCTTGCCTGTATGTGTGTGCGTGTGTTTAATGTGTTTTTATAAATGTACTTATAATAATAGCAAGAAGCGTGTGAGCATGAACACATACACACGCAGAGTCAGGTACACACATTAACAAACGTAAATACGCACACACAAAACGATGTCATATGGCTACAGCGTTCTTTCGCCCAATGTGTAGCGTAAACAAATGCTTTAATTTGCTTATTAAAGACTCGGAAAACATTGACAGCAAGAGTGAAATAAACAAATTTTGTGGATGAAGTGATCTTTAGTTCAGAATTAGTATTGGGACAAAGGAATGGGCCGATCTGGATCATGGCTGACGTCTCCAGTTAGCAAACTAAGACAAGGGCTGAAAGTTACGGTTTTACAAAGGCGGGCGACACACGGAACTTAAAAAGTGTCGTTACTTTGCTGATAGAGAAAACACCGCATTTCTTACGCACACATGCTTAGAAATGTATACAAAAACAAAACAACATAGCCGCATCTACACAAGTCAGTATACACTAGGCCGTCCTTACGTGCTTTCAATCTCAACATAGACGCACACATGCGAAAGAAGGCTTTTTGGATCGTCTGCCCGCTTGCAAACATAAACAGAAACAGTAATAATAAAATAACCTCAAGAGTTCTAAAAGTCAGGGCTAAATACATATACGCATCCATTCTTGCGTACATTAAACAAAACGAGCGGCTAAGGTAAAGGTGAATGCAGAAAGAAACAGAGAGTGGGGGAGAGAAGAAGAAGAAGAAGAAGAAAAGAAAAAAGGAGGAGGAGGAAAACAGACACATAGGTTGAAAAATAAAGAGGAGGAGTGAAAGAGAAAAGTGAGGAATTGGTGACAGCAGGAAAATGAAATAAATTAGAGAAGGGAACAGAAAAACAGAAAGAGAGAAAAAAAGTTAAAAAAAAACGAGATGAAAAGAGTAAAAGATATGAAAAGGGGAAACAGACAAATGGAAACAAAAAGAAAGAGGAGAAAAAAGAAAAAAAAGAGAAAGCAGAAAAATGAAGAAGAAAAGCGGGAAAAAAACGTAAAAAAGAAGATATGTAAAGAGGAAACTTGTAAAGACATCGGAGAAAAACCAACAGAAGAAAAACAAATGAAAAGCAGATTGAGATTTGATATATAGAAAGAAAGAAAGAAAGAAAGAAAGAAAGAAAGAAAGAAAGAAAGAAAGAAAATGAATTAGATAGATAGATAGATAATAGATAGATAGATAGATAGATAGATATGAGCAGATTGAGATTTGATATATAGAAAGAAAAGAAAAAAGAAAGAAAGAAAATGAATAAGATAGATAGATGATAGATAGATAGATATGAGCAATTGAAATTTGATATAGAAAGAAAGAAAGAAAAATGAATTAGATAAATGAATAAGATAGATAGATAGATAGATAGATGAATATGAGCAGATTGAGATTTGATATATAGAAAGAAAAGAAAAGAAAATGAATTAGAAAGAATAGATAGAATAGATAGATAGATAGATAGATAGATAGATAGATAGATAGATATGAGCAGATTGATTTGATATATAGAAAGAAAGAAAAGAAAAAAGAAAAGAAACAAAGATAGATAGATAGATAGATAGATAGATAGATAGATAGATAGATAGATAGATAGATAGATTGACAAATTTCAGAGAAGGTTCTGTAATATAATCAAATCCTGACATGGCATCTCGACTTAAATCACTTTCTCACCGACGTGACGTAGTCTCCCTCTTTCTTTTCTAGAAATATTTTCATGGCAATTGTTCTGATCAGCTTCCCTTCTTGATGTCTTAACTGCAGGAATTCATGCGTGTTACTAGATTGGCAACTAGGTCTCACGGTTAAACCGGCTAGCTGCAACTGTATCTTTTATTCGAATAGTTTCTTTTCTCTAATTTCTCGCTTGTGGAACTCCCATCCGGTTTCTTGCTTCTTTGCCGCCTACAATCTTCAAAAATTTGAATGCAACGCTAACCGCTATCTTCTGTGTTCCGGAAACCGGTTCTTTTATTGATCTTTCTAAAGCTTTTTCATTCTCTTTCACTCCCAGTAACACCATACGTTCTAGTGGCATTATCGCCTTACTTGGGGTGAAATGATTTAAAAATAACAATTGGCTAAGGAAAAACAAGGTTTTTTGCCACTTGTACACGGTGTATACATTCGTAGATATTTTAGGATAGATGTTTTTAGTATTTAGTGTTTTAGAAATTGTTATTGGATATATGTGGTCAGAGGTTGGTATTGGTACGTATGAATGCAGTGTGAAGTGAGTTATATTAGTTCTACACAGAAACAAAAGAGGAGTTGGTAATGGTAAAGGGTTAATGCTGTCCAGATGGCCTTGGCTAATGTCTGAGGTGTTAATTGGTGTGAATGTTTCGGTAAGTAATGCGTAGAAAACTTCAAAGGACTATTCAGCTAAAGAGGAAATGCCTCAGCTAATAAGAAAGAAAGAAAGAAAGAAAGAAAGAAAGAAAGAAAGAAAGAAAGACGGTAATTTGTACAAAGAACAATGAGAGAGTCAAAATGAAAGAAATGTACTGGTAAAGAAAGAAAGAAAGAAAGAAAGAAAGAAAGAAAGAAAGAAAGAAAGAAAGAAAGAAGATGATAATTTGTAGAAAGAAAGGAAGAGTGAAAAATGTATTAGAAAAGAAAGAAATAAAGAAAGTAATTTGTACAATGAATCATATCGGAGGATGTGTGAAAGAGATGTGTCGAGAAAGAAAGAAAGAAAGAAAGAAAGAAAGAAAGAAAGAAAGAAAGAAAGAAAGACGTTAATTTGTACAAAGGACAATGAAAGAGGAAGAGTGAAAGAAATGTGATACAAAAAAAAGAAAGAAAGAAAGAAAGAAGGAAGGAAGGAAAGGATGAAGGTAATTTGTGCACAGACCAGTGATACAGGAAGAATAAAGGACATTTACAGGGAAAGAGAAACAAACAAACAAACAAACAAAATGAACGAACGTCTGTTCTACAAAGAACAGAGATAGAAAAGTAAACGAAATTTGTTGAAAAGAGAAACTGGAAGACAATTTGGAGAAGGACGAAATTTTAAATGAAGAAAAGGTGAAGAAAATTACAAAAAAAAATACAAAGGAAAAAAAACTTAAGCAAAAAAAAAAACAGAGTTAGAAATCAGGAAGAAAAGCAGGAAGGAAAGAACAAAAAGGTGGGAGAAGAAAAGATAGATATATTTACTGGGCGATATCAAAAAGGCACAGTTGTCAAGTAGCCATGAAAAATCGAACCCTCAGTCAAAAGTCATAGAAACTAGCTCATTAACCACAGTGAATTAATTAAAAGGTGCTTCCAAAAAGAAAATCTAGTAGAAAGTGCATGAATATTAATCCATTATGTATTTGGCCATTTAACTGTGATGTAATATTGATGTTATATTGTGATATTATAATGGTTAATTTAACAGCACGTCAACTTTTGTTGAGTTACTTAATGTTAAATATGCCATAGAGGTTAGGTTCACTTTCGGGTCAAAAACGTAGACATAGATGCGATTTATACTATGATAAAAAAGTAGATAGGTTCAGTTTAAAACGGTTAATAGTGCAGATATAAATCCGATTTACACTATTGTTAAGAATGTAGACATAGGTCCAGTTTACAGTATTGTTAAGAAGGTATCTATAGGTCCGGTTTACACTATTGTCATGAAGGTAAATACAGGCCTGGTTTGCACTATTTTTAAGAAGTTAGACATCGGTCCGGGCGATACTATTCTTAAGAAGGTAGATATAAATTCAGTTTACATTATTGTTAAAAAGGTAGATATAGGTCTGGTTTACATTATTCTTAAGAAGATAACATAGGTCCATTTTACACTATTGTTAATATGGTAGACAAAAATCTGGTCTAAACTATTGTTAAGAAGGTAGATATTGGTCTGGTTTATACGACAGTTAAGATGGTAGACAAAAGCCTGGTTTACACTATCGTTAGGAAGGTAGACATAAGTTCGGTTTACATTATTTTTAACAAGATAGACATGTCTCGTTTGTACTATTAAGAAAGTAGACAAGTTCTACCCTTCTACAAGAGAGGTAGTCGGTATATTTTGCAGGACAAGATAAACGATGTAATAGTTAGTCTAAAGAATTATAATTACTCAGTAATAACTTGCTGGTTGTCATATACTGATGACCTTGTGTCAAAATTAAGCAAAAGTATTAGACGAATTGGTGAGCTAAGTTTACACATTGAACACCGATAACTGTTCTGTAGTCGAGTCCTAGAAAAAGTCCTAATTTGCAAGGTAAACAGTCAAACAATCACTCCAAACTGAAAGTTTACGGTAGCTAATATTTTACTTCTGATGAAAACATGATAAAGAAGGCTAATTTAAATATATATATATATATATATATATATATATATATATATATATATGTGTGTGTGTGTGTGTGTGTGTGTGTGTGTGTGTGTGTGTGTGTGTGTGTGTGTGTGTGAAAATGAATATATATATATATATATATATATATATATATATATATATACAATTTATTATATATATTATCTATATATCTTATTTATGCGCGGTACTTATTGGAAAACGCTCAATATCAGTGAAAGAGTTAACATATTTAGTTGGATTGATGTGAGTTTGTGAGCCTGGGTTTCACAGTATTTGCTATCGTCAGACAAACTCAAACTTTTGTCTGACGATAGCAAAAGCATGAAAACCAGAGTCATAAACTCATCAATCCAAATATATATATATATATATATATTACTAAATTTATATATATATATATATATATATATATATATATTACTAAATTATATATATATATATATATATATATATATTACTAAATTATATATATATATATATATAAATTATATATATATATATATATATATATATATATATATATATATATATATATATATAATTAATTAATTTATCGAGCCTAATAGAAGCCTCAACAGAATGCAGAAAGCACTAGACGGACGTTTCGTCCTATATTTAGTAATCATCAGCAGTGCGCATCCACTACCGAGAATTGAAACCCGGACAGTTACGATACCAACTGTACCAACGGAACCAGATGAAGTAACGAATTAGGCTCGATATAGCGCCGCTCTTCACAAATTCCGTGGTGTAACTCACCCGTGTTTCCCTTAAACATAGGACTGCGCCCTCCACGAGCCACGACTTCTATCCCTAAGCCGCTCCATCCAGAGCATTAGAAGCCGCTTCAAGCAAGAATAAACCATTGATAGATATTGTAAGGATGATTTGAGATAATCATAATTAAGCAATTCATCGAGTCTTGAAGAATCCTAGACTATTATGATTATCTCAAATCCTCCTAATAATTTCTATCACTCATACACGCGCACACACACACACACACACACACACACACACATATATATATATATATATATATATATATATATATATATATATATATATATATATAATTAAATACAAAAAGAAAGTTCACTATTAATTAGTTTTTTATTTATTTTTTCGATGTTCTTGATTATTTTCTTTCCTTCGGATTCATATTTGTAATTTTCATATTTGCTGCCCATATATAGCCATAAATTAATACTGGCAGAAACGTATTAAACATATTTAATATCTAACACTGCAATAAAAAAAAACACCCCTCCCTTACCAATAATGAACTAACCCAAATATATCGTCTAATATTGTCTATAAAACTAAAGCAACCAATAACATATCTCCAAATAAAACAAACGCCATGATGATGGTTGAGGACAACCGAAAGTGCTCGGCAAAAAGCTGTCAACTCGGATCCTACTTTATCAACCTGGACACAAACATTAGGAAACTTGCGAGGAAGCAAGAAAAAAATGTCTTTCATAACACATGCTTTAATATATATATATATATGTGCGTGCGTGTGTGTGTGTGTGTGTGTTCGTCGTGTATACTCGTGTATAAGTCTACTTCATGTATAGGGCGACCCTTGAATCTTTTTTAGGACAAACCTTATTTTTTCATATAGTGCGTGTATAATGAGACCCCATCTTCTGAGCAATACTTGTAGGCCAACCGCAGTCAAATGCTGCAGTCATGTGCATCATCCTGAACATATTTTGCAGAAAATAAATGGTCTTCAGTCGTTTTTGTACAAAACTACCCCAAAATGATGAGAAAAAAACATTTACCGTAAAATATCTGTTACAAAGACTTAGACACTGTACTCTTGTTTACGCCCATGCCTGAAATAGGTAGCTCCTTTAGCTTGGGTCTCCCTCCTACGATCACCGAAAATGCATGACTTTTAGTCTCTTCAAATAATTACCTCTTTATAATGCGACGCCCCATTTTGGGGGGTAAAAACTTATCATAAAAACTCGTACTATACTCGAGTATATATGGTATATTTATATGTGTGCGTATTGGATATATATATATATATTCTGGACTTAACCCCACTTTCCTAACTAAAAAAAACGCCACTAAGGGACGCTTTCTGAACCTATAAAAACACTGTAATATTTTCTATCTTTCTCTTTTTCCTATTTTCCTTAGACACGCTAGGATGCAAGTCTATCGTGCGAACGCGTTTCCCATTGGGAAACACAGACACATACGTACGCAACTAATTTTTCACCTGGACTTCTACAAACATTTTACATACACGAAAAATTCGCTAGTCTTTAAACGTTTTTATGCAAGTTCATTGTTTAGTCACATACATACAATATCAATGTCTTTGTCACTCGAAACAATGTTACGTTTTGTTTTGTTAATAATACATTATCGTTTGTTTGCCAATATATTGGTTTTAGTTGTTTCTTTGTATTTTATTACCCGGACACACATGCAAGTCCGCCATTTTGGTTGTGAGATAAACATTCCAGGAGACACGTGTTTCCAAACTCAAACACCAACGTACATCCACCTGCAGCACAATACATATATATGTAAAGAAAGAAATGGATTGTTTTTTTTTATTAATACGACATATTTTTATTCAAGACTCAGAGAAAAATCTGTGTTGAAAGCACGTCAGATATATATATTCCTGGGCGAACACAAGTTCGAATCCTGCCGGAGAGAGCATATTTTTCTCTGATAACATTTCTCAAATATTCAGGCGGATAGTCGAAAATAAATAAATATACTGCTTAATAAATAAAGGATCGTCTCCTCAAATACGAGTATCCACTAAAAATACACACACACACACACACACACACACACACACACACACACATAAAAGTAGACATTGAAGTCAACACCCAGAGAGGACAAGCTGTTTCATACTAAACACAATCGTCAGGCCATGTGTGTTGTCTTTTTGCTCGACTATTTATCCATACATAACAGTGATGCATTGTGGGTAGTCTATTGTATTGCATTTTGGGTAGTCTGTTGTCAGTTGTGATTACTGCATTTTCTTGTGTCTATCTGTACGCGCGTACTTTGTTAATTTGTTTATTATTTATTTAGTTTATTTAATTATTTATTTGTTTGGATTAATTTCTTTTAGTTGTTCTTTTTTATTTTTACATTATTTATTTTCGCTTATTCTTGTTCGCTTTCGGTTTTCGATTTTGAAGTAACGTCATAAAAATTTGTTTTCGTGTCTGCATTTCCGATCGCTTATTTAGTAGGGGGGTCTGGGGATGTAATTATATCTATTTTTCCTCAAGGCAGAGTTTACAGTTTTTGGATTGGTTGTTGTAGGATGATGTTCCTTTCCGTATTTTCCATGATATTTTTGGTGTGATTTGTTTTTAATCTCCCAGATATGTTTAGAAAGTATTGTGCTGTTGTTATTATTTGCTAAAGATGTTTTGTGTGCGTAGTTTCTTTGTTTCCCGGGTCTTTCAGTTACTCCTATGTATATTTTTTTCTTTTTTTAAGGCTCATTCGTTCTTTATTCTACAGTTGCACGTGGGCTTAATTTGTTTATGGGGTTTGTTGATTGTTTTCCTGTTGTGCTTTTTTATTATTTGTGTCATGTTCCCGGTGCAAATGTAGCTGATTTTTACTGTGCTTTTATTAAAAATCTTGTGGAGAGTGCTTAATGCGAGCAAGTGTTTGTGTATGAGTTTAATGAATATTCTTTCTACGCTTGTTTGTGCTGTACGGTGGGTTGAACCATATGTTGTTTCTATTCCTGTTTGATTTTTTTGTGGCGTGTATGTGAGTGCTCCAGGGAATCCACTATCTGATAGGACTTTTTCATAGATTCGCTGAAGATGGTTTCAATTTAAGAATTACCGGAAAGCCTGTGGTTAATTGATTGTGGTATCTACTTGATTATTGATGGCGGGTGGTTGGAAGATGCGTGTATATACAATGATTTATCATTGTGTTTTTTATATAGTTTACATGTAACTTTTTTAGTTTGAAGGTGACATCTAGATAATCTACGCTGTTTAGTGTAGTTTTTATGTCTATTTCGAATCCCATATTTTTTAAACTTTTTATGACTTTTTTCTAATTTTGTCTGTGTTTTGTTTGTTGTAGTTTTTTTTAAAGATTGTACACAACAAGTACAATATGTAATACGGTACAGTTATACACACAGGTCAATCTAATAGTGAGTGCCACTAATTGGAAGGTCGGACGTGCTTGCGTCTTCTTTCTCACTCTCTTCTCCCTGACGTCCCCCAGTCTCTCGGAGACAGTTGATTTTATAGATACTTACTACTTATAACGTAATCATTCATGGGGGTGCCTGGTTATTCCATTACATCAGATTTAAAATATATACTGTTTTATTTTCGATCTAGATGTTTACTATTCAATACCAATAAATTAAATGCATTGATACGGAAGAAGATTGTACTGAAGTTGAAAAATAAATTTTAGTTATATAATTTTATTTTTAAGATTACACAGCAGGCTTATTTATACATCTCTCTATATATATATATATTATTTATTATAGTTTTTTTTTCATATAGACAAAAACAATTTACTCACTACAAAGATGCAACTTAGTTTCAGTGCATTTAATTGCACTTCGACTGGTGAAAACCAAAATGGTTATGAACAATTCTGCTTATAAGCAAGCCGCATGTGAAACGTCACTTCCTTTTTTCCATTTGTTTGAAGAAAAAATGATAATAATATATAACGCCAAAAAGCTGTCTATCTCTATTTCTCTCCTATATATATATATATATATATATATATATATATATATATATATATATATATATATATATATATATATGAATGTAATGAGAACGAAAATAATATATAAATTGTAACGTTTACAGCATTAATTCAAAAGAGCGATCAATACCAATAATAGAGCAATAATTATTTATTATAATTTTTTTCATATAGACAAAAACAATTTACTCGCTACAAACATGCAACTTCGTTTTAATGCATTTAATTGCACTTCGACTGGTGAAAACCAAAATGGTTACGAACAATTCTGTTTATAAGCAAGCTGCATGTGAAACGTACTTCTTTTTTTCCATATGTTTGAAAAAAAAATTTTCAACTTAGAGCTAAACAGATCAATTAAAAATATTCAACTCAATCTATAAGACGTTTGGCACGTGAGAGAGGAGTTTTAGCTATGGCAGTCCAAAGAGCCGTGAAAAAAGATTTAAAATTGAAATCATATGTGAAACTTGTGAGGCACCTTGTTACTCAAGGACAGAAAGTTAGAAAGTTAGACAGGGCGAAGATCATCTTGAATAAGTTGACAAATGACCCTGGAATATATATATATATATATATATATATATATATATATATATATATATATATATGAAATTTATTTCAATACTTCATGAGCTCCCAATGCTTAGCTATGATTAATTCATGATGAACATGTCATTTTCGTTAATGATCGATTTTATCACAATTCTTCTGTTAGGCTTAGAGAGTAATTATACATTCTTATTGCTTAAAGTAGAGCTTAATAATGTTATAAAAACCCTCGGAGAATTCCAGTAAGATATCTTTGATCATTTCTAAGATACGGTAGTTCAAATCTTAATCGAACAAACGTACAAAAATTAAAATTTTTTATACCAAAATTCGATTATTGCATACATAATACTGGTTTAATACGATAAAACATTCTTCAGTTTAACTATAGTAATTGAAAATTGATTTTTTTTATAGTTGTCTATGTACACATTAGGTGCATTAATCGAGGGATTCCTGTGTGTATATATATATATATATATATATATATAGTGTAACCCGGATATAAGAGAGTTGTCGGGACCGGAGAAGAAGTCTCTTATATCCGGGTTTATCTTATATCCGGGTTTCGTCTACTTTATATACATTAACACAGGCTCTAATTTGGGACCAGAGAAAATCTCTCTTATATCCGGGTTTCTCTTATATCCGGGTCTCTTATTACCGGGTTACACTGTATATATATATATATATATAAATCCTCGGTATATATATATATATATTTGATTTCCCATAGGTAAATAATCAAAAATGTTATATATATATATATATATATATATATAATATATATATATACCGAGGCTTTTCCCACGTCTTTTATTTTTGAGGTTACCGGTCAGATGGGCTTGTTTGTTTGGCGAGATAAAATTTCGTGAAGGTCAAATTTGCGGCCACAAAAGGTCCAAGATAAATAGACGATCAAGTGGACATCAAGGTTAGACATATGGAACAGGTGGACGGAAGGGAAGTTGGAAATCTCTGATTTTCGAACTGATCATTTATGTGGATCGTTTTTCAAAGCCTCCCGCTGAGAAGGCAACGATGGACATCAAGGGACTTTGATTTTGCCTCACACTCTATGATATACGAAAAAAAAATAGGTGGGGGCGGAAAAGTAAAAAAAAAATAAATAAATAAATAAAGGAATAATACAAAAACAGAGAAAGGGTGTTAGAAACTTCGTAAAACTTGTACATACATGAGTTATTGGCTTTACAAACGCATGAGGTTGATAATGAACCAAGCATATATTTATATATTTTCGCTTATTTTGTTTAAATCGATTTCACATTGTACAATGTGTATTATAAAGAAAATTCGCTTGAAGATGAAACAGAACTAATGCTTTTAATTTAATTATATAATTAAATTTGAAGTTTTTAGCTTCGGTTTTTGAAACGTGGTAATTCCTGTGTAACGAAGAACCATATTTTTAAATCATTTAATTTATATATATATATATATATATATATATATATATATATATATATATATATGAATGGAACTCACGCATTTGACTGTGTGTACATGTATATATATATGTGTATATATATATATATATATATAATAGGTCAGGCCATTTGGGTTTAGGTGGTCTGACGATTGCGTTTAGCGTGAAACAAACTGTCGCCTCAGGTGTTGACTTCAATGTTCACTATTATATTTACTTACGGTATATCCCTGATATTGGGAATTTTAAACAATGAATATACCACAGTTTAAAACTATATTTTTATCCTATATATATATATATATATATATATATATATATATATATATATATATATGAATTCGGATCATATATAGGTCAAATATGGATTGTAATCTGAATGATTTATAACATAAGAAAACAAATAAGAAACTTTTATAAATCTACCATGTTTCGCTTGTATTAAAGCTTCGTCATAGAATGAAATATAGAGGCGAAAATAAAATTCTGGTATTTTTAATATCGTGTTGTTTGTTTTTCATTGGTTAAGCAGATTTCACGTGCATCAGTCTTGTCAAACAACGTTCGTGTGTATAATTGAAATACTGGAATTTTCTTTTTTTTCCTGCATAATTCATTCTCTGATGAATCTTTAATAAAAAGCGAAACATGCTAGACTTGCAAATGTTTTCTATTTCTTTCTTATGCTATCATGTTTCTTCTTCAAATTTCTGAATTAGTTGTTTTATATAATCGGTATATTTTGCAAATTTCATTTTTATTTGTTTTATTTTTCACGGATATTTTCATAATATTTGTAAATTTTATGCTTATTTTTAACAGTTTCTTTTTGTCGCACTACTGACTTGTGGAACTTTCTTCTTGTTCCATGATTTCCAGCCAACTTTGGTCTCCAAAAAATTGAAATCTATTGCCAATCATTATCTACTTGTCTACTTCTATTGTTCTCGCTCGTTAATTTTTTTTCTTATTCTTTCGCACTCAGTAGCCCCTTGTGTCTTAGTGGCTTTACTACCTTGCATGGGATGAAATGATTTAAAAAAATATTTGAAATCACTAGGTCACTGAAACTGTTGCAATATAATCTTAGAGATGTCCACTCAATATCATTTCTGACTATCATCCAAATATTTTGGTATCTATTAACTGATAGCTTCTGTATACTCAACTGCTCATGATATACAAACATTCTCTTGATATCAGGCAAACTTCATACCAACTGTACCAACGGGCCTCGGTGACGCAGCGGTAGCGAATTAGACTCGATATAGCGCCGCTCGATCACATATGCCGTGGCGGAACTCATCCGAGTTTCCTTTACCCATAGGACTGTGCCCCCACGAGCCACGACTACTATCCCCAAACCGCTCCATCCAAAGCATTAGAAGCCTCTTCAAGCAAAGATATACAAGAGATAGAAATTATTAGGAGGATTTTCAGCACCCCACACCTCTGAGATAATTATGATATTTAAAAATTATACATTAATTAAAGTAGATATCCCCGAAAGACATAAAGATTGTATAGTACTGGAAATGTGTATAGTTGTCCTCATTTAAAGTTAAACCTAGCAACTGTCGGCCATAGATATTAGGTTGGTGCAAAAATAATGACGTAATAAACAACGTTTTGTGACGTTAAAAAATACGTCAAAAAAACGACATTATTACGTCATTATTTTGCACCAACCTAATAGATATTGAAGATAGATAGATAGATAGATAGATAGATAGATAGATATGATCCAATTTTTTCTTTCACCCGAGATTTTCAACAAGTGAAGTGGCTGAAATGCGGTGCCAAATTTTGCGATGACTTTGGCAAAAGTAATTGAATAAAAAAAATATCCTTTAAAATTTGGCACAAATGAACAATTTAGCTTACAGAACGCTGTCATATTTTATTCTTTATATTCATACACCCCACAAACATTACACACACGCACACACACACATATATATATATATATATATATATATATATATATATATATATATATATATATATATATATATAGTATATTATGTCTCTTGACACCAGGGAAAGTCAATATAATTTCGTGACGGGCGGGGAGCTTTTTTCTGTTTTTGGTCGTTCTCGTAAATTAACTTTTGCATAATCATAGTTTCGGATTTCTTTTCTTTTTTTTTTAACAAAAAATATTTCTTTTCCTTCTTCCTCTTCTTCCTCTTCCTCCTCACTCTTCTTCGATTATTTTTTTATTTCCCTCCCCCTCTGCCATGTTTACTTTCATTCATTTATTCATTCATTCATTTTGTGAAAATGTTCTTTATCTCGAGCATTTATTTTACTCAGAATGTGTTTTTTTTTCTTTCTTTCTTTTTGATCGTTCTTGTAAATTAACTTTTGTATAATCAGAGTTTCGGATTTCTGTATGAATTTTAAAAAAAATACATGTTTTCTTTTATTCTTCCTCTATATTTCATTTTTCGTTTCGAAAGTTTATAATATTGGCCAATTATTATCATTATTATTATTATTATTATTATTATCATCATCATTATTATTATTATCATTATTATTATTATCATTATCATCATCACCATCATCATCATCATTATTATCATTATCATCATTATTATTTTCATTATTATTATCATCATCATTATTATTATTATTATTATTATCATCATCATCATTAATATTATCATTATTAGTATTATTATCATCATCATCATTATTATTATTATTATTATCATCATCATCATCATTTTTATTATTATTATCATCATTATTATTATCATTATCATTATTATTATTATCATCATCATCGTCATTATTATTATTATTATTATTGACTGCGCAGAGCAGCATAGCATCATGGCACCCAGTGTTAATAAAAGTATACCAGGCCACGTCAAAATGTGCGCGATTTGGTGACAGGTTTGATAAATAAAGCGCATAATCTTGCAAATGGGACCCCACCAGCTAGAAATAGCTTCTTGTCGCGTAACCCAGTCCGATCACAATGTGCTCCATAGTATCGATATGTGACTCCTAAATCGCCTCATTTTTCAAACTTAAAAATGGAAACCCTATTGATACCTGACCATGACGATTACTTCACTTATACCCGCTTAGCAAGAGAGATGCATAATGAGTTGGTACCAAGGTAACTGGTTCTTAGATTTACATCAAAGATTACCTCAAGTTTGATTGATTGAAAATTCTAAACCTATATTTTAATTCGCATGATTTTTTTTTATAAATTGATATTATTATTTATCATTATAATTATTCATGTCTTCTTAGTCAAAACATATTTCCAGTGGCATCAGTTAAAAGAAAAAAAATTCCAAAGATGATTTTTTCAGCTAGTCAATCGCATCCTTATTCAAAGATTGGTGCAATGTAATAATCTTATCTTCATTGAAATCGATATGGTCTTTGGTCAGACTATGATAAGTTCACTAAAGATCTGGTCACGTAATATGGTTTCTGCATTTTTCGGTTAAGCTCCAGTAACTTATTTTGTTTGTTGTTTTTTTTACTTTCATTTAATTTCATTAGTGCTGAACTGCTATGTAATATCAGCTATCCTATATGGAAATGGATGCTGGATAGTTTCCTCACAGATGAAGAAGAGAATTGAAACAACAGACAGAAGAAAGCTGTATCACGGAAAGAGCGTGTAAGCAACGAAGAAACCTTAAGAAAGATGGAAATAAAAAAGACACTTAACATCAGTAAGAAACAACTGAAATTTCTTGGACACATAATGAGGAAGGGGGGCTTGTAAACTTTGATACTCGCTGGACATATATATATATATATATATATATATATATATATATATATATATATTATATATATAAGGCAAAACCTCTTTAAAAACAAAAGAAAAGTATGCTGAACTGCTGTCTAATATCAGTCATCCAATATGGCGGTGAATGCTGGATAATCTAATCACAGATGAACAAGTGACTTGAGGCAACAGAAATATGGTTCTACAGAAGGATGCTGAGAATACCATGGAAAGAGCATGTAAGAAACGAAAAAGTCTTAAGGAAAATGGAAACAAAATGGACACTTAACATCGGAAAGAAACAGCTGAAACTTCTTGGACACATAATGAAGAAGAAAGGCTTGTAAAATTTGACACCCACTCGACATATCGGGGGAAAATTCTCTTTCTTTAGAAATAAAGAAAAGAGTGCTGAGTTGTTGTGTACTATATCAATTCTCCTCCTCCTTCGTCTTTTCCTTCGCTAATATTGAATTCATTATTCTTTTCTTTCTTCTAACACAAAGATTATTTCTATTATAGTCACGCTTTCTAATTTATTTTTGTATTTATACGTTCATTTTTTTGTCTTTCTTTCTTTAGCTTGTCACATTAACGCATTGGCCTCCACGTTTGTTCGGTCTCTTCTGTGATCAACTTTCTTCGCATGTGTTCTTAGTTTGGAAGTAGGGGAGAGACCTGAGAATTTGATGGAGGAAAAAAAAAAAAAACGAAAAAGGAACCAAAAAAAAAAAGAGAAGCACCAGAAATGTCAGCAGGTGCATATCATTGTTTCAGGAATCCCTTTTGTCTTTATATTATACATATATAAGGATAATATACATAAAAAATAATATATAAAGCGAGAAATCACAAACACATACATACATATATATATATATATATATATATATATATATATATATATATACAAACACATACACACCTATATATATATATATATATATATATATATATATATATATATATATATATATGTGTGTGTGTGTATATATATATATATATATAGAGAGAGAGAGAGGGTACACGTGTGAGAGACAGAGAAAGAGATGCATAGATATGACTGGGCGTTAAAAGTTCAGAAATTGCACAATCTTACCAAATGATGAAACATCAGATTTTTATTTATTTAATTTTTTGCCTTTTTTTCTTTTCTTTTCTTTTCTTTTCTTTTCTTTTCTTTTCTTTTCTTTTCTTTTTAAAACACTTCTTGTCTTGCCCAAGAACCTTTTACCACACATCGTATGCATATAAAAATATTTTATACGTACGTATATACATACTCTATATAAGCCAAAAGTTGGGGGCCACCCTCTGAATTTCAAAGAATTGCTTAAAAATTGAAGCTTTCATGCCTTTTAAAACTATTCTACTCGCTCGGACCAGAGGGACTTTCTCTCCTTGTTCCTTGAAGGCTTTTATCATATATTCAGTATTAATAATAATAATAACCAAAATAACCTATTACTGCATAAAGTCACCTTAAAGTTTTAACACTTTTAGTCCAATCAACCATGCTGATTAATTGTAATCTTAGGGTTGGCGGATATAAATTTTCACGTAGCTTTGTCTCTAAAATAAACATGGATGTCATGCAGTAATGTGTTAAATAGCTTCAGCATCCTAACATACTAGAATTTAATTAAGGCAAAGAGGGTTTGAAATTTTCTAATCATTAAAATCAGAGGCTCGTCAAAAACGTTACAGATAGATAGATAGATAGATAGATAGATAGATAGATAGATAGATAGATAGATATGTACAAACTGAGATTAGATAGATAGATAGATAGATAGATAGATAGATAGATAGATAGATAGATAGATAGATATGAACAGACTGAGATAGATAGATAGATAGATAGATAGATAGATAGATAGATAGATATGAACAGACTGAAATTTTTGTACTATTGAAAGTAACAATGAAAGATGTTTATGTTTTTAATCAACTATTCCTTGTGTCGAACTAAATGCTTTACATTCGATGAAAATCCGTGAATAAACAGTCCATTGTTGAATTGGATGGAAGAGAGTGTCTTAGTAGTGATGATGCGGTCCTGAAACGGTTTACCTTATTAGGGTCTTCTCATATTCCCAATACGAACCAGGGTCTCAGATTGCTAACGCACAACTCCGTTGGACATATGCCATGATGGTTTTTTGTTTTTGTGTTTTTACTTTTTTAATTAAAGCCATAAAAACGAACATAACAAAAACTAAAATAATATTACTGTAATTGATAATATCGAAATACAATACGATTAGCAAAAAAGACTGCGAAACCGGCTTATTGGTCCTTTTACATCGAGGAAGTAAAACTTGCACAGTTTCTAGAAATGAAGAGACCTAAGACTAAATGTTATATAAAAAAATTATATATAACACTTTATAGCCAATTACCTTTGAGTGATGCTTACAGAGAAACAGCTGGTAGGACTTAATATAAACAGATTCTAATGAAACTTAGAATTTGTCTTACTGAGAACATGTCTCGTTTGAATGACCAGGCACATTGCTGTTTTTGTATATCGATATTACTACTTTACTTTGATCGCTTTTTTCGATTGCTTTTTGCTGTTTTTTTTTTGTTTTGTTTTTTTTTGTTTTTATGATTATCGCGTTTTGATCAATGTGTATTATTTTACTATTATTATTAGTCATAATTAAATAGTTATTTTTCTTCAGGACACGGGTGATCATGGCTCTCTACAACTTCCTATACCTTTGTAGCTCTTTTTAATATTTATCTTTTCATCATCCATCCGGCTCCTTGTTCTGCCATCCATTTACATAAGCTCGTCAATTAAGTGGATCACTACACCCCCCCGCACTATTGCTTTCGTTATATCCTGTGCGTGTCAAATTTTCCAAGTCCGCCTTCCTCATTATATGTTCATGAAATTTCAGCGGCTCTTTCTGATTCTAAATATAACTGTCCTTATTATTTCCATTTTCCTTAAAACTTCCTTGTTCTTGACGCGTCCTGTCCATGACATTCTCAGCATCCTTCTGTAGAACCACATTTTGCTGCCTCAAATATCTTCTTCGTCAGTAAGAAAATTATCCAGCATTCGCTACCAAATAAGAGGACTGATAGTACATAACAGTTCAGCTCTATTTACTTTGTTTCAAACGAAAATGTCCCGTTTTTTAATACTTTGCTTAGCTTTTGGAAGGCATCTTTTGTCATTCCAATGTGCCTTTGTATTTCAGTGCCACATTTTCCGTCCTCTGTTAACACACTTCATATGGCACATGGTTAGATGCATGTGGGGGTCCATACATCCAGACCCACTAAACCTAGATCTATAGTGCAAAGAGTAAAGTGTTGCTGCAGGTTTGGGTTTCAAAGATTTAAGAGAAGAGATGTCACACTTAGTATTTACTTGCCACTCTGATAGATAGATAGATAGATAGATAGATAGATAGATAGATAGATATGAGCAGATTGAGATTTGATATATAGAAAGAAAGAAAGAAAGAAAGAAAGAAAATAAATTAGATAGATAGATAGATAGATAGATAGATAGATAGATAGATAGATAGATAGATAGATAGATAGATAGATCTGAGCAGATTGAGATTTGATGTATAGAAAGAAAGAAAATGAATTAGATAGATAGATAGATAGATAGATAGATAGATAGATAGATAGATAGATAGATATGAGCAGATTGAGATTTGATATGTAGAGAAAGAAAGAAAGAAAGAAAGAAAGAAAGAAAATGAATTAGATAGATAGATAGATAGATAGATAGATAGATAGATAGATAGATAGATAGATAGATAGATAGATTTGAGCAAATTGAGTTTAGACAGAGACACAACTGAGTGACCCTCCATCCGAAGAGAGACACACAATTGAGAGATGAAATATATTTTATACGCCGGATGGCAGATACTACACTTTGATCCCACCCAAAAAGCTGTGCATTTTTATAGTGTTTTTAATGTGTATTTTTCATCCTCTGATCAAATACTTCTTAGTATTTAAACTTCTGTACATGTTCCTATTGAAGTTATTAGAGAACTGAATTTGTTTTGCACCTTCATAAGACTATCACTCGTCCATGCATTGGATATTGTTGGAAACATCTGGTTTGATGCTTCTGCTATATATTTTGAGATTCAGGACTAAGAAGAATCCAAAGAAGAATCTGCAATATCTACGACGCTAGGTCCTGACCTGGCATCTCGGCTCCAGTCACTTTCCCACCACCGTTTCGGTGTGGCTTTTCTATAAATATTTTCCAGGCGTGTTTTAACTCTTTGGTATCTCGACTTCATGAATTTAAGCTTAGTACTAGATTGGCAGATAGGTCTCACTATTTTATTGTTGAAATTGTTAAATGCAACCGCAAGTTCTATTCTAATATTTCCATCTCTCATTTCTCAGTCAGCTTCTTGTTTTCTTGTCAACTACAATCTATAAAAAAAAACTTATATGCAACGTCAATCGTCTTTTTCTGTCTCATTAAACCCTGTTCCTTTTATTGCCCTTTCTAATCAATAAGGTCTTTTTCAGTAACTCTTTGCGTCTTAGTGGCTTTGCCGCCATACTCGGGGTGAAATTATAAAAAGAAGCGGTTAATAAATACTGTAAGGTTTGAAATAAGATAAGATTAAAATAATGATATCGTAATATAAGGAGGTTTATTCGTTCGTTTCTCACCAAAAGCTAATGTCAATAATTTTAAAGTATGGAAGCCCGCACTCAATTACTTTTCTCTTTTTCGCTGACTAGAAGCTCTGTTTATTTTATGGTGTTATTTTAATTTCAGTTTGATCTTGGAGAATCAAAATACTCCAACTCGTCTCTCAAACGGTCAGTCTTGCATATCTTTTTAGATGGGTTACAGATCAGACAAATTGGTTGTGTGTGTGTGTGTGTGTTGTTTTTAACTTTGCTTGTTGCACTTCTAGAATTTTTCCTGTTTCTTGCTCTCCTGTCAACTACAATCTTCAAAAATATCAATACAACGTCAATCGTCATCTTCCGTTTTTCTTTTATCCTGTTCTTTTATTGTTCTCTCTGATTGTTTCACTCTCAGCAACCACTTGCATCTTAGTTGCTTTATTACCTTGCTCGGAGTGAAATGATTAAAAAAAAAACGACGGGATGGGGGGTAAATACTATGAAAACTGTCTTAAGAAGAAAGTAGACTATAGATCGATAATGAACAGAATTTATTGTTGAAATTGTTAAATGCAACCGTAAGTTCTATTCTAATAGTTCCATCTCTCACTTCTTATCGATGGAATGCTCAGCCAGCTTCTTGTTTTCTTGTCAACAACAATCTACAAAAATTTAAATAACATTGATCCTCATCTTCTGTCTCTTTGAATCTTTTTTATTTTCCTTTTTTGTCAGTAATGTTTTCGCTGTTTCCTTTATTCTATTGTCTTTCATCCTCAGTTCCTTGTACTTTAGTCGCTTTATGGCCTTGCTTGGGGTGAAATGATCTTTAAAAACAAATCCTAGTCCCAAGGATTCCAACTCTTCAGCAGCACCTTTCTCATGGTACTAGAGAAGGTGGGTTGATGGATACCGACCGTCAGCATGAAAGTGGCAACCGGGCCTGGGCAATTTTTTTTTTTTTTTGTTCTCGGGTCCTAGGTCACATCTCACGCCCGTGTAGTGATAAGTAAACAGAGGATCAGAGTGTTGTACCTGTTCGCTTTGCGGAAAGTGTTACGATATATTTGTGTTTACTACACTTAATAACGACATAATATTAAATAAGATTGTGTTACTCATTTTCCCAAGCGAGGTCATTTCGTATAGGAAACGCTGATCGAATATGGACTTCAGACACCGCTGGGAACTGCATCATGGTTTTAGCCAACAGGTAGATTATAATCTACCTGTTGGCTAAAACCGTGATGCATTTACTGTTTTTCGTATGTTAGTAATATTATTTTGCAAGGTGAGATATTGTGGAATTAACGTTGAAAGAGTATATTATGTCAATGTACCAAGTGCGGCGAATCAGCATTTCGAATTCAAACTTTTACCTGTGTTCAAAAAAATATACACTAAACTGCTATGTGATATCAATGCTCCCATATGGCTGTAAATGCTGGAAAAATTCGTTAGAAACAAAAAATAGCACAAAACTGCTATTTGATATCAATACTTCCACATGGCTGTAAATGCTGGAGAATTTCATTAGAAACAAAAATTAGCACAAAACTGCTATGTGATATCAATTCTCCCACATGGCAATAAATGCTGGAAGAATTCGTTAGAAACAAAAAAAATAGCTTTAAACTGCTATGTGATATCAATGCTCCCACGTGGTAGTGAATTCTGAACTATTTCCTCACAGATTAAATATAGAATTGAGGGCAACCGAGATGTTGTTGTACAGAGGCATACTGAAAATATCATGGACGGAGCATGTGAACAATTGGGATGTTTGAAGGAAAATGGAAACAAAATGGACACAGTCTTAGAAAGAGGTAGTTGAAATTTCTTGGACAGATAATGAGGAAACAAGGCTTGGAGAATTTGATACTTACATGACACCGAAGAGGGACAGATGGAAACAGTGAGTAACCTACCCAACAAGCTTGTGTAATTGGATGGTAGAACAGGGACTGGGAGAGATAGCCAAGGGAGAGAGGAGGCACGGTTGAGTAATGGATAGCGGCTCGAGAAATCGGTGAGCAGAGTTCGCATTCCACTCGAATCCATTATATTCACTTATGTGTTAATACCCTTGGGAAAGGTATGAATCTTCTTCTCCCCCCCCCCCAGATACGGGTAAATAGCAGGACAGACCGAGTTCTATAGCCTTGTATGACAACTCGTCTACCACAGAAAGCAATGGCAACCTACTACGGGAAAAAAAATTTTAAATATCAAAAGATGCATGATCGTCGAAGTGTGTATCACGCATGGCCCATAACTGACTGAAGTATATGGAGGTGTGAAGAGCCATGATCGCTTACGTTCTGAAGAGACACGACACATAGTAACAGGTTAAGTATTGATTTACCAACCAAAAT